GGGGTTTCACCATGTCGACCAGGATGGTCTCGATCTCTTGACCTCGTGATCCACCCGCCTCGGCCTCCCAAAGTGCTGGGATTACAGGCTTGAGCCACCGCGCCCGGCTCATTCTTTTATTTATTCAGTCAACAACTACTTATTGATTTCCTGCTCTGGGAGGCCCTGTTCTATGTGCTGGGGCTGCAACAGTGAAGAGATTCTTGCATTCATGGAACTTAGTGCAAGGTTTGGGAGCATAGGAGGAGGAGAGAGATGCACAGATAAAATCTAAAGTTATGAGGAGTACTGTAAAGGAAAATAAAGCAGAATAAAAATGGGTTACCTGGATGGGTGTGCTCTTCTACACAGGAGGTTCAGGAAAGGCCCCTCTGCTGAGGTGACATCTGAATAAGGTTTGAAGTGAGACAGTAGGCTACACAAAGTTGGGAAAGAACATTTCAAGCAGAAGAAACAACAAGGTAAATTCCTTACAGCTTGAGTGCCTGACAAGGAAGCCACTGTGGCAAAAGAACAGATGGGAAATTAGTTTGGAGAAACAAGATGGGAGCCAAATCACTTATGGATTTATGAACCAAAGAAAGGACTTTGAATTTTATCCTAAGAATGCTTGGAAGCCATGGAGGGCGTTGAGTAAGAGTGACATGATCTGATTTATAATTGAAGAGGTTCACTCTGGTTGATTGTTTGAGAACTCCCTGTAGGGAAGCCAAATAGAAGCTAAAAGACCAGTTAGGAAGCTAATGCAGAAGACCTGCAAGACTAGTGTTGCAATGAAAGTGGTGGGATTCAGGATGTATTCTGAAAGTGATATAGAGGTGATGTGTTAACAGACTGAATGTGGGGTACAAGACAAAGAGAAGAATCAAAAATCAGGTTTTTTGACTTGACTAACTGGATAAATAGTGATGCTATTTACTGAGATAGCGCATGTGGGGAAACAGAAGCAAGGTTATTTTGTGGGGGAAAACATCCAATTCTACTTCAGACATGTTAAACTAGAGATCCCTATTAGATTTCCAAATGGAGCTACCAAATAAACAATTGGAAATATGAACCTGGAGCTCATGGAAGGGACAATGAGAGGTATAAATTAAGGAGTGGCTAAGTTATAAATGGCATAGTCACACGGTGGAGAGAAATCGATGTGGAAGAAAAGGGAAGCAGTTTAAAGACTGAGATCTCTAACCCTGAGGCATTCCGACTAATAAAGGTCAGAGAGGAGGAACATCCAGCAAAATGTATTTAAAAAGAGTAGCCAGGAAATAGGAGGAATAAAACGCAAAAGTGAGGGGGTCTTATAAAATAAACCAAAAAAAGCTTCAAGAAGGCGCTATAATCTCCATTATTCCTGCTCATAAAACAGGTTAAGATGGCTGAAAATTGACCACTGATTTGGAAAACAGAGGATCAGATAATGGCAAGTCATTTTAGTGGAGTTATGGAGATAGAAGTCTCCATTTCTATGGTCTGCTTTTTGTACCCACTGTTTTGTGGACACCATGGCTATTACCACCGAATTGATTGCCATTACCACTGAATTCTCCCTTTCTTATTTGGGTTTCCCTATTGAATTTGAGGTTGTGATGATTATTATCCCTTGTGTATCTATCTTGTTAGAGATACTCAATCCCACTGGTTTCTGTAACACTATATTCCACGGTTTTATTTTTATCTCTCTAGTCATTTATTTAATTAACTTCTCTTTCCCTTCATTTTACATATTCTTTCAGTGATTGTATCCATTCTCACATTTAAACTACTGTCCAGGGCCAGGTGCAGTGGCTGATGTCTCTAATCCCAGCACTTTAGAAGGCTGAGGTAGGCGGATCACTTGAACTCAGTACCAGCCTGGGCAATATGGTGAAACCTCATCTCTACAAAAAATACAACAATTAGCCAGGAGTGGTGGTATGCACCTGTAGTCCCAGCTACTCGGGAGGTAGAGGTAGATCTCTTGAGCCTGGGAGGCAGAGATTGCATTGATCTGAGGTCACACCACTGCATTCCAGCCTGGATGACAGAGTAAGACCTGTCTCAAATAAAAAAAAAAAAAAAAAAAGAAAGAAAAACTACCATCCACATTATGACTTCCAACTTTTTATTTCGAACTCAGGTTTTAGACTCACATACCTGATGGCCAATGGCACTTGTTTTTTTTGTTTGTTTGTTTGTTTTTTTAACAGCTTTCTTTTTTTTTTGGAGATGGAGTTTCCCTCTTGTTGCCCAGGCTGGAGTGCAATGGCACCATCTCAGCTCACCACAACCTCTGCCTCCCAAGTTCAAGCAATCCTCCCGCCTCAGCCTCCCAAGTAGCTGGGATTACAGGCATACATCATCATGCCTGGCTAATTTTTTGTATTTTTAATAGACACAGGGTTTCACCATGTTGGTCAGGCTGGTCTCAAACACCCAACCTCAGGTGATCCACCCACCTTGGCCTGCCAAAGTGCTGGGATAACAGGCATGAGCCACCAGGCCTCCCCTCCCTCCTCTTCTCTCTCTCTTTCTGTCTCCCTCCCTCTCTTTGTCCCTCTCTCCTTCCTTCCTTCCATCCTTCCTTCCTTCCCTCCTTCCTTCTCTCCCTTTCCTTCCTTCTACTGCTTTTATTCCCCTCCCTCCCTTCCTTCTTTTCTTTTCTTTCCTTCCTTCCTTCCCTCTCTCTTTTTCTTCACACTTTGTGTCACCCAGGCTGGAGTACAGTGGCACAACTCTCGGCTCACTACAACCCCAGCCTCCCAGGGTCAACTGATTGTCCTGCCTCAACCTCCTGAGTAGCTGGGATTACAGGCATCTGCCACCACAACCAGCTAATTTCTGTATTTTTGGTAGAGACAGAGTTTTACCATGCTGGCCAGGCTGGTCTCAAACTCCTGACCTCAAGTGATCCACCAGCCTTGGCCTCCCAACGTGCTGGGATTACAGGCATGAGCCACCGTGTGCCTGGCTTTTAACAGCTTTATTAAGACATATACTTAACATACAATTCACTCATTTAAAG